AGTTACTTATTTTTTAGCAAAAATAACTTTGAAAAGTTGAAAAATTCGTAAAATTTTTTCAACATAATAAAACTTTTCATTCTTCTATTCATATTTACAAAATAAAACTTAAATTACTTATACAAAATTTAAATTTTTTAATAATAAATTAACTAACAGTAACGACTAAATAAGTCTTATACTTCTTCTGTAGTAAGTCTAACTAAAAAATATAAAAGTTATAAACACTATATTAATTTTTTAATATTAGCTATTAATATATGCAGGAAAAAATTTATATTTCTTGTAAACAATTAACTACCAAATAAATGCAGAAATAAATTATAAAACATAACAAAAATAAAACTTATTACAACTACAATTAATTGTCATATAATGATAATAATAATAATAATAATAATAATAATAATAACAGAATAGACTAATTTTGCATAATTTGAATAAGCTAATTTAAAATACAAATTAAAGAAATAAATAAATTTTGTAAAAATTATATCAAAATTTTGATAAAATTTTATCTTTTTGGGCAAAAAAAAAGAAGAAAAAAAATTGAATGCAAGTAAGTAAATGTGTATAACTAACTCTCAGTGTGTGACTGACTGACTGGCAGTGCATTGCTGCTTTTATATTTTTATCAAAATTTGGTAACATCGCAGCCATAAACGAAACGATCGAATTACAATTTTGTCTTGTCACTAATTTTTTCGCTTTGCAATGCATTTTTCTCAATATACTGTCTGATATTTTATGCTTCTCAACTAAATATTTATTAATTTTTGATTATTTCTCAATTTTTTTCATTCTTTTTTTTACATTTTTAATTTTTATTTATTTATTTTTTTGCATTAAAGTTTTTTTTTTAAATTATTATTAAAGTTTGAACACTTTGTAGTTACGAGTTGACATTAAATATTATGTCAAGGGCTTTATTTTGTTTTTTCATATAACTGCACTTATAATGTCACTCGAAATACGTGAAGTTACACTTTAAGTAACATTATAGTTCACTTATTCATCACAAGCTTTTTACACATTGAGTTAAACTAAGATTGCAAGCCCAAGCACATAGCAAACACTATTATCAGATCACGAATTGAACTGATCTGAATATTTAATTAAATCATATTGGACAATTCATTTAATGATTCTTCAATGATTGAATTTCAAATATTATAATTGCATAAATTATTTGAAAAAAAAAAGAATCCGGTACTTAAAAAGATTAGATTTAAATTTTATATTTGTAAGAGTTGCAAATTTTTTGCCAAATTTTGTTTGCAGATTCTAAAAATAGCAAAAGAAATTTATGATATGCAATTTGTTGCAATAATTCTGCTAAATTGCGCAGCAAAAATTATTTGTAATCGAAAAATAACGAAGATAATATCGAAAAAAGTTTAATACTTTGTTGTTTTTATTTATTTTTTTCTTTTAAAGCATTTTATGGTACAAAGTTTACTTTGTAAAATTAAAAGCACATGTTCAGGATCAGGACGAGAAAAGATTGCTACTTATTGGCACCACTCTCATAACTTTTAATTACTTTCATATTTATCCATACTAAGCTTATGACAGATTTGATCTCTTTGAATGACCAATTTTTTAGAACTAATGAATTATTTGTTTTTTTTTTACTTTTAAAAATTATTGCTTACTTAGATGTTTCAGTAATTTTTTATGCTCTCAGATGCTAATTTAAAGTAATACTTTGATTTCTGAGCAATAATGAATTCTTTACTTCCGAAAGTTATTTTTTATCAAACTTATTGACTACTTCCTGGTCATGTTCATATTAATACAGGCATTTATTGTATTATTAAAAAAGACGTTAAATTATTCACTGTAAATTTTTTGAATTAAAATTTAAAAGTTTTATTTTTAAAATAAAATTCAATTTCAGATTTCATATTTTCTAGAACTATTATCTTTTTACATGTCAAAAAAACAAATTTTTGTCAAATAATAAAAGTGAGTTAAATGAACAGTAAAATTTGGTAATGAACAATTCTTCATTATTTTGATTTTCATTGAAAATGTTAAAGGAAAATATTCAATTCAGTTTTTTGAAAACTATTAAATTAAAGCAAATTTGAAATTATAAAATGCAGAAAGGAAATGAATTAATTGCATTTACTCATTCAAAAAGTTACAGTAACAATATTTTTTTAATTCTAAATTTTAACAGAGGTACCAAATTATATTATTTTGATGTAAATTTTATACGGAATTAAAACTATAAACGTATTTAGTCGTATTTAGTAAACTTATATTTAGTCGTTTAAAAAGGTGTAATTCACTAAAGTTTAGTTTTGAGTGAAAAATTTGTTTTAGGATAACAATTGATTTTTCACTAAATTATGAAAATTATGCTTAATTTTACATAATAAATTGTTTTCAGAAACATTTTTGATTTAAATGAAGTGAAAGATGAGTGACATTAAGAAAGCATTTTATGTCTAAACTAATAATTTGAATCTATAATGAACTTAAAATGTTTTGATGAATTTAAAACTTCCAAGTCAAATTATCAAAATTATTGCTACAATTTCAATTTTTTTCAAATTTCAAATCGCTTTTCAAAAATAAAAAGGCATTTAAATTATTTTTGATGTACATATATTTGCATATAACGTTTTCATATAATTAAATTAAAGAAAAATTAATAAAGCTAGAAATATTCGAATATCTCCCATAAAATTATTGATGTGATGTAATCTGTTCTATATCTTATCCACAATAAATAAACAAACTTCTCATGATAAATTCAGCAATCACTAATTCTTAAGATTACTAAGCTTAAGTTGCATTGCTTATATCATCATTGCATCCTTTAATTTTTATGAAAATATTTAAATAAGCGTTTTTGATTTATCAATGCGCAAAAAGAATTTTATCTAACAAAATTCTCAACAATTTATTACAATTTTGATATTTAAAATTTTGAGTTATTAGATTATAAATGAATTAAAAATCAATGCAATTAACAAAATAATATTTGTTTATTGCATTTTTACCATTAAATTTTATGCTTTTCGTTTTTTTACTCTATTAATGTGTGGAAAAATAATTAATGATCAAGCAGTTGGTGCTGTTTTTTATCCAAAATAATTAATTATAAAATAATTTAAATAAGTTATTTCAAGTAAAAAGTCGATTGTGGATAACTTTTAATGACAAATTTTTGAAAGCTATCCATACACCCAAACTCAGCTATTTACAAAATGAATTCAAATTGGTAGTCTGAAACTTTTAATTAAAAAATTTTATTTTCAAAAATTTGTGTTTGCTTGCAATTTTTTGTGTAATCTTTTATGAGCACAGAAGCAAGCAAAATTGAATGTTATAAAATTAGGCTATTTGAATTATGTATAAATTGAACAAAAGATTCAGTTATTTTGCACATTTTTAAATTTAATTTTTACAGATTAAATAACGTAATTTCTGGTTGATTTTTCAGTTTTGTCTTTCAGCTTGAAATCATTATTGAGACGTAAGTAATGGAAGAAATAAGTGGTAATGATATATCTAATCACTTTGGAAATCAAACACAAAATGAGCAAAGTATAAAAGCGGATGTTCAAATTCAAATGAAATGCTATGAATCCGACAGTTTTCAGTTGTTTCAAACAACGGAAAGTTTCACTAAAAAATGTTATAATTTTAATTTCTTATATTTTATAATATATATCTATCAATTGCTCATAAATTATTTTAGTAGTTAGCAAGCAATAAGTATTATCATTGCTCTTATCATTAATTTTGCTTCCATATCAATGCTTATTAAATATTTACTTTGATATCTTTATCACATGATATGTTAATGAATTTGAATAGCTTATTGATTGAATATCTCACCAGAGAGTTATTTATATATTCATAAAAAACTCCTTCAGTTATTAATTTTTATTATTAAAGAGTAATTATTACAAAAAATAAATTTAATTTTATAAGGGAAAATCTTTTAGGTTGATGATTTGTTGTTAGCAGCAAGTGTTGCAGCGACCATTTTTAATATTTTGGTGATTTTTTGTGCTTTAAAATTATATCGTCGGAGTGGCGATACAATGCACGTGTTTATTATCAGTATGACTATCGGTGATTTACTGCTTACGGGTGATTAATTTTGTTTTTTTATTTATTAATAAAGTGAATTTATGAACTTTGAAACGTGTACTTTTTAAAGTTAGAAAAAATATATAAAAAGGAATTTACACAAAAATATCTGAAAATGTGCAAACAATCATTTAATTTGGTAAAGTGCTAACTGTTAAAGTAAATATTTTTTAACAATAACCTTTCAATATTTACTCAGCTTTTAAGCTTTGGAAAAAACGACAAGACGGATTTATTTTTGAAGAAATTAATCAGTACGACTATCAGTAATTTCTGAATCAGACGTAATTAAATTACGCATTATATTGTATTTGGATTTTGATAGAATTCACTTTCTACTTTCATTGTTGAAAATTTTGACTACGGACAGATTTAGTCGAATCAGAAAATATTAAAAAACTAATAATTAAGCTATGCATTTTTTGCAACTTTTACATTTACATAAATTATTTATAAAGTTATTACTCAAAAATTAAGTCATTTATGATTGCTTCTAGTTTGGTTTAACTTCCTATAGGTTTATGGCTTGACTTTAGTTTAACTTCCAGATTACTTTAGTTCAACTTCCAGATTTTATATTTTGAAATGAAATGAATCCAAACATTTTATTTTACCATACTTCCTATCATTTGTTATACTTACTTGCTACGTTTACTCAGAGACTATTTGATCACTTCATTGGAAATTGATCTTATAACTTGATCTGATCTTATTTGATCTTTTTGTCATTAAAAATTTGGAAATTTAAGCGGCAAAAATTATTTTTTTTATTTCAGTGTTTTGTCATCCAAATGAATTTCTTATTCGCAAGCATGAAATCCTACGACAAGCAGGTCTCTGCGCAATCACTCACTTCTGTAATTGGTTAGGCCTAGCAGTTTCAGGCCTGTCCCTAACAATGCTTAATTTTGACAAACTTATTTACTTCCAGTGGCCTCTGAAATACGATTATGCTATGTCTAAGAAAAGAGCTTCAATTTTATGTGTTTTTATTTGGAGTATTTCTGTTGGGTAAATCTTTTTTTCAGCAAAAAAAACTTCAAATATCTTAGTCTAATTTACTTAGAAGAATTCAAAAATATTCTTACTGCTCAGCAGTTTCTCACATTATTTAAATACGAGCAGAATAATGGTTATCATTAATTCTAGGAATATTTTCTAGCAGATGTAATTTTTTATTATTATGTATTTAAGAAAATGATTCAATATTATTATTATTATTATTATTATTATTATTATTATTATATTGTGATGAAGAGAAATTATTTAATACTTAAGTGGAAAGCGTTACTAGCTGTAATGTAATCATGATAATAACAATAACAATAAGTAAAATTGATAAAACAAAAATAATGATAATAATAATAGTAATGTACAATAATTGCAATAATAATGAAAACAATAGTAATAAATAAATATGACAGTTGAATATTTTAGTGATGAAAAGCATTAAAAATATCATTAAAGCGATTATTGCTTCGTTTTTCAAATTTTAAAAATATGCTCTTTAATTGATCAAAAATATTGCATAGTTTCAATACAAAAATCACAATTGTTATTGATAACGATAAAAGTATTCCGAAAACAACAATTTTAACTGAAGACAACGCGAAACGTCTCTGGAAAAATGTGCTGTTAAATGATAATCACATTAGTCATAACCAAATAACAGTTTTTTCGTTGTTCTTTGTTGATTATTTCAAGCAAGAACGGATTATTTTTAGGCTATCAAATGACTTTTTAATTTTCCACGTCTGAACATATCACGGATTGCAAATATAAGATATATTATGATTTTAATAGCATTTTTCAGATACGTGACGTGTGTATGGGTTTTTAACGTCGTTTACATAGGGAAAAATTGTAACCTGCAGGTCATTGTCAAATATTTTATATTAATATTCATTTCAATAAATCAATATAATTTTTCTCCTGTTCTAGGTAAAATAATAACCGAAAACTTAATTATTGCCAATTGCAATAAATACTTTAGAAAATCGAATTATACAATTCAGATCTATCTTGAATTGTAAGCTAACAGCTTATTTGATTTTATCAAAGGATCATTACTTTTAAAATTAGTGACATAAAACTGTAAGTATATATTTACCAAATATATCATTTCTTTTCATGATTTCTTGCTGATTGATAAGTAGGTATAACAAATTGTGCATGATAAAATTGCTATCAACATTTTCATGCATATGAATCAAAAAATTACAGATGACTAGTGGTCGAATGTACTTTTATGATATTTTCATGGTGACATATTGTGTGCTACCAATCACGTCATCATTGATTGTTAGCGCTTACTTATATCAACTTACACGTGAAAAACGTCGAAGTACGATAGCTTTTGGACAATCACATGAAGCTCCAAGATTTAAAAACAAAGTTAGCACTTTCTTTTGTACTTTTATTCAATTTTGTAATCTTTTCTTCAACTAAAATTTCAAATAATCTTAATTTTTTAAAAATATTAGTGATTATGTAAGTTTTTCTTTAATTTATTGGTACCATATCTTTGATTTACTGTACTAATTATTTATTAGCAATTTCATTGTTTCAAAAAGTTACTAGAAAAAAAAACAATATTTTCTGCAGATGAAATCATTGGTATTTATTTTCGCTACAACAGCGTGGACATCCTTCAGCTTACTGCCATATCGTATTTTTAATATTTGCCGTATGCATTTTTTTGATTGGAATGCTTTGGACTGTGAAACACAGTCGAATATGAACTGGCTTGCTCATGTCTTACTGTATTTGCTGTTTATGAATCCGGTGAACTCTTATACTTACCGTTTCTTTTCCTAACAATCAAGACTATAAGAATTTGAGTACAGTAAAACAGTACAAACTGATATAATTACAAAGAATTTTTTCAGTTATTACAAAAATACAGTTTAGAAATTTTGCATGTTATTTCGTGAAAATGATTGAAATTAATTCTAAATGATTAATTGGTAAATAATTTCTTTTTTCAGATAGTCAATCCATTAATTACAGCACTAATATATGCACCGTACCGATTAACTCTGAAACGATTAATGTTTAGTATTCCAGTCAGAAACCGATCACTGTATAGTTGTCGTGATAATCATACTAATTTAAGGTGCGTTTGTAACAAATTATTTTCATCTAATGCAGAACATATTAATGAAATCAGCAAATTTAATTTATTACGCATAAATATGAAGTACACGCAAGTAACGCAGACAAGCAGATTTTTAAGGATAAAATACTAAAAACGTAAATAATAATTGCTGTCGATTCTTCAACATCAATTGTTGTATAAAAACTGTCACATTTTACTGTATACATTTTATGTGATATATTTAATTTTAGAAAATATAGAATTGTCATCATCAATTAATAATTGATATCTTAGTGGTGTTTACAGCTGTTAGAAATTTTATTTTGCATAAAATTAGCTAATGGCAAAAAATTACTAGTAATTACAATCCTAGACATCTTAGTATTAGTATGATCATTATTATTTTTATTCAGTTGTTTTTAGCATGAGTTATCACTGCTAATTTCAATTGTTACTGCTTTTTTTAATGTTATAGCTGTTTATTTAATTATTATTATAATATTATTATCAGCATTATTGTTTTTATTCTTAACATCATTGCTATTATTATGAACATTATTATTATTTTTATTATAACAATCATTTTATTCTTGCAGATGAATAATAATATTGAGCAGATACCAGTGACTGATATAGACAGAGTTGACTAAAATTACTTTCTAATATAAATTATTATGAATAATTATAAAACTCAATTAATTCTTTTGATTCGTCTAAAGTACTAATCATTAGTTCTTGACCACATTTAGTATTTTGAAGGTAATTAATATCGAAAACTAGTATGAAAAGCGATTAATTAGTAATTGTGGAAATAATATGGGAATGTTTTCATGTTGTTACTTTGTTAATAATTTTATCATACAGAATTAATTACAGCTATCTGTCAAGCAACATGAAGCGATCTCGAATTTGCCATGAATCAGAAACAGCTGTTGAATATGAATTAACAAAGTTGAAACATGTAGAAGCAAATGCAACAAATAACAGTAATAGCAGTGAGAATTTCTGAATACTGATTGAAACAAACAAATCGTGAAGTGTGTTTTAAACAATTCGGTAGTGGTAAATGTACTGAATTGACCCTTTCATATACTGAGGGCTTGATCTCTTTCTAAGTAGCGCTGAACAGACTTGAGGTCAAAATAAATCAAAACTGAATTACTTTCTTACACAAATAAAGCACTAAATTTCAGTTATTTTACTGTGAACGAATAAGGAAAGATGAATATCATTGTGCCTACAATTTTAAGATGCATTACTAATTTTTTAATCCATAAAAAATACGAGTAAAACAGATATGGGATCTAAATCAGTTTGGATTGAATTCAAATTTATTGTGCTCTTTCAACAAAAAAATTAAAGCAAATTTAAGTTCTCAGATAATTTTTGGATCCTAGATTCGTTATTTGTGTTGCTCTGCTATAATCACGTAATTAAATATGATACATTTTTAGTGCTAATGCGTTTGTCATACAATACGGGTCTGAGAAGCGGTTGTACCGCTGATTGTTTACTTGTTAGTTATTATTGTAAATAGCAATTTGGCTTATTTTTGGCATAATATCCGAATAAGCATTGTATTCCGTTTCACTTTTCTAATTTTTTGCACTTAAGCGATTACAGTCTTGCAAATTACTATTATTATATGTAATAACCATATCAATTGATCACTTTTCTAATTATCCGCATAAATATAATTAATTTGTAAAAATAAACTACAGAAATAAACATGTTAAATAACTTCTTTTTACAATATCATATTGGATGGGAAGAAAAATTTTTAATTAAACAGTCCTTATGGATGGATTAAGAAAAAGCAATTAATAAAATATCGAAAATATATTTACAAATATTACTAAAAACGTTTTACCAAGTCATCGAATCTGGAAGGTACGAATTCGCGAGTTTTTAGGCCGACAAAGGTAATTATATCGAAGGTTTTTTGAAAAAAGAACTACATATGGATAATATCAAAAATATGAAAACTTTAAAACGACTTTCAGTGAAATGCAATGAAATGATTTACTACAAGTCATTTATTTTCATTTGATGCCAGCCAATAATCAGTGAATGAATAACTAAAATATTTTTAAAAGAACAAACAAAGTAAAGAAGGCATCATGTCTGCCAATCACATTTTACAAATTATAATGTATGATAGAAAAAGGTCATCGTAAATCATCTGAAAGTTTGTCAAGCGGAAAATTATTCCAACTTATTTGTAGCGCCAAAACTGCTTGCTAATGAGTAAGTAAAGGAATACATGCAATGAATGACGATGCAATTAAAAATGAGTATACACTGCAAAATGTTGAGGAATGATGAACTCGTTACTTAAGAGTTTTAGTTCAATTTATATATCATGACATCTAATAAGTCAGCTTGTATATGATTATGACTGATCCAATTCACAACAATAATTGTTCGTAAAGGTTATTAGAAATTGGTACAGATTTGCATGTCATATGCATATATAAGTACTGGGTGGCATTTTCCACGAAGGAAGATCAATTTGGAAGATCTTCGTTAACATTCTGCAAGTAGAGTAAACCTTAAAATTGTACTAGTGATTTCAATGTTTTGAGAGTAATGAAGTAGCATTTGACTTCTCTAACTTACTGAACACATTTCGAAACAGAATCACCATTATTTCTGGAGATTAATGTAATTCGAGTTATACTCATTTGAATGGGTGAATGTTTCTGAGCACAATCCAATCAAAAACGTTGGCATTTAATATGGCTATACAATATCGAATAATGGAACCAAAATAATTTTCCTGCTCATCCTATTTTAATGATTGTTTGATGTTGATCATCTAAATTATATTCGAATTATATTACGTTTTTGATTTAGAAGTATGATCAAGTTAATTCTCAAAACCCTGCACAATGTATGGAAACTGAGCATTGATTGATTTCACTTGGAAACTGCATAACATCACAAGTTAAAGCAGATGTGCTGTTCAACGAATGCTAAGAAACGGTGCGGATGAATTCAAATGAATTGTCTGAAGAGAATTCGTGCCTCGCTTGAGATGAAATGTGATTTATGGCTGTCCCTCTGAGAGACAAGTCCTTATAGAAGGAGTCATTCTCTTTAAGGGCGCAGACGAGTAAAGTAGCTTGTTATTGGGTCATTTTTGCAGCTGGCCAGAATGCAGGGAAGCGTAAGTGTGAGTGTTTACAACTCTCAAATGTATTTGTGTCTCAGCAATTGCTGTAAGTAACGTAATTGTAGATAATAGCATCAGTAAAAGTAATTTGAAGAAGTAAGCTGCTTGGTAGCTCGGATGTTGTAGTAGTATTTACTCTTGGTCGGTTTTATTGAGTATGCTTTGAGCTGATCATTCCTTGTGCTGCACATGGAATTTCACCAACCTGTTTATTACTTGGTGTAAAGTC